GAGCTGCGTCCAAACCTTGTTCAAGAGGGCGGAGACACACTGCAGCACCACAGAACTACGGAAGAAGGAGGAAAACCATCTATACAGAATGTTCCAGAAGAATGGATATCCAAGGAGTTTTATCAAGAGAAGCTTGAAGAAGAAGAAGACATCTCAACAACAGCCACAGCAAGAACAAGCCACCAGACGGGTAGTCCTACCTTACATCAAGAATATATCAGAACTCGCAACCAGATTATTGGCGCAAAAAGGAATCTTCGTGGCCCACAAACCGAGTGCTACTCTAAGGAAATTAATCTCCAGACCGAAGGACAACCGAAACAAAACCAAGAGGAACAACGTGATATACCAAATCAATTGCAACCACTACAAAATATCCTACGTTGGACAAACTGGGAGGAAATTATGCACACAAATAGAGGAGGACAACGCGGCTGTCACAAAGCATGACCCCCTGTCCTTGATATCTATACATGAGGACCGAGGAAGCCACAAATTCAATCTGGAAAAATCTAAAATTTTGGCATACGGAGACACGTAACACGGAAGAGAATTTCTGGAAGCATGGTACTCCACGGCAGAATCGACCAACCGGTGCATCGAACTGGATCAAATTCACGCACCTCTAAGTGCAAAAGACCAACATCTCAACCGGAACACTCGAAGAAGACCGAATATTGGATTCACAAACAAACAACCAAGGAACTCCTCGGAATCAAATCAATAAAGGTCACACGGCGGCGGAAGGAAGGACATAAGTCACTTTTGTGTACTTGTTGACAAAAAAATCAGATAGTGTTATAAGCGAACTCACCGCCCAACATTCATTTAATGTCAGCTGACGAAAACCTGCGCTTCGACGGTCTTCGGCTTCAACGATGTGTGCCGTAATTTACAAATAAACTTCAGCAATCGCCCATTCAGTACGGTATCGTCTACCATTGACATGCTATCATACGGTAGCTTGTGCCCAACTGTTTCACCATTTTAGAAAGACGCCTTTTCTTGTGGGACTTGAAAACGGAGACTCGTTGAATTCATCCTTCAAGCATGACGTAACTGCTAAACTTCCACACAGAACCGAAGATATTGCTGAGCCTACGCGAGTGAGGATTGTGCAAACTTCAGTCAGTGAAGTCTTGGAGAATCAGCCCGTCTGGTTCCAATGATGACAAAAACTCCAGATTTTCGTTCAGGGTACAAATCGTAAAGGACGTAGGGGCTTCCAGAAAGCCATAATTTGGCTACTAATGAAGGGGATCTTTTCTAAAGGATACTTCCATGTTTAGGCCTGTGTGTCCTCGACAGGATGGGGATTTTCATCTCGAAGAGTGCCTACTGGACAACAATATCAGTCACATTGCAGCCGCATCAGTGCTGAACACCGAGGCTTGACTGCCTAAAACTAAGGTTTATATCGGGAAGGTTAGCTTCCTGAAAGCAACCACTGAATGCCAGGAACCTACGGAGACTCTCAGCTCCGCTAGATGTTGATCAGACAGACAACGCCCCCTCAATATGCAGCACTTCACAGCCTTGTATCGAACCCAGACAGCGCGAGTCAGCGTTGATCAAGGTCAAACAACGTCCCCGCAATGTGCAGTACATCGCAGGCTCGCACCAAAACCAAACCGCGTGCGTCAGCGTTGGACCAAGTTGTATTTTCTCACTCGCACGCACGCACGCACGCACGCACGCACTCACACACGCACACACACAAACGCGCGCGCGCACGCACGCGCAAACACACACGCAAACACACACGCAAACACACACGCAAACACACACACACGCAAACACGCACACACGCAAACACGCACACACGCAAACACGCACACACGCAAACACGCACACACGCAAACACGCACACACGCAAACACGCACACACGCAAACACGCACACACGCAAACACGCACACACGCAAACACGCACACACGCAAACACGCACACACGCAAACACGCACACACGCAAACACGCACACACGCAAACACGCACACACGCAAACACGCACACACGCAAACACGCACACACGCAAACACGCACACACGCAAACACGCACGCACGCTCTCGCTTGCTCCAAATATAGCTGTCGTGTTCCCTTCCGTGAGTCTTGTTTCCGGCACTAGGCACTGGAGCGGGGTCAACAGCAGACACCACGGACTGATGAATCAGCAGATATAACAGTTTATCAGGAAAAGCCTTATTATGGAAAAAATGGAATGGAATGGAACCTAGTTTTAGCTTACTACAAAAGCGCTGAGATGCCCAGTTCTGGAAAGCATACACATTTATTTTGGAAAGCCACTGGTGTTTAATAGCAGTTGTACTTTATTGCGCCCCAGCAAGCACGGGGGAATCATACGAATTCGATTTAGAAAGGTAAGTAGTATGAAAATGATTCGCTTAAATCCCCTTTGTCAAGTTGACCAGATGTCAAGGTCCTGCACCGGGACAGGTTCGAATAGGCACGAAAAAAGTAGGTAAGTAAATATGATCAGACGGCATGGACAACACCTGTCCAGAGTTGAATTCCCTACTTTCTAGACTGACCCACTTCAAACTAAAGCATCGGTATAAAAAAGACCCAAAGGTTTCCAAGTTCCCGTATTACCACAGATCCCATCTATTCACCTGCTGTGCAAAGTACCGAACTCGAGTGACACCCTATAGAATTGTGCTCGGCCAAAAGTGAGCTGGGAAGCAAAACGTCGCTAGAACACTGAAAAACCATGAAGAATCTTCCATAGATGTATGACTTTCCGGAAACTTCAGTATAAACCCACAATCCTACCTCCGGTGAAACTAAAGAAGCCGATTTTACTCTATAAATTGCATGCCCAAGTTATGCGCAACGGACGACTGTACATACAAATGGATGGAGTAACCATGGGCCCAGTGTTTGTGAATTTATTCATGTTCAAAGCTGAAAATTCAACAATAGCCAATACAGTGACATCTCTCGACTACTATGATAGGCAGGTCAATGTAGATGCATGTAAGATAGCGCTACTGACTATGTCTCCTTTCTGAACGTTTTAATGGGGCCGATCAAGGTGTAATCTTCGTTCCCTCAGTGGCGCCCCTGCATACAAGTTATTGCCTTCAATGCATAGCTCCCTTCCCAACCCCGCCCTTAACAGTCCACCTACAGTGCTGTATTAACGCATCAATTTATCAGCATCAGCCCCCGATGCGCAGCTACCTCCCCCCCCTCCCCGAATCATCGGTGAACGAAACTGTGGCAGCTACAACCACTGTACGACAAGTCCGCGGTTATTACAGCCAAACTAATCTACCAACGCTTTCTGTTCAAAGGTGATGTGTTTGATGACGCGAAGATTATAGAAAACACTTGTCAGAACATACTATCATCGTCGTCAGGGTAATGATGGTTCAGAGAGACTGTTCCTACCACAACTAGCGGTTTTTCTGTACCTCTCTATCAAGATAATGCTGCAAATTTGGTGTAGACTGAATAGAACTCACATTATCCCCGAAATTCACTCAAAATTGGCTAATGGGGTTACAGGGCAAATCGATAATGAAAAAACGTCGTATGAACCAGCTGACTGAAGTCCTGGGCATAAAACAGTACACCTGCGTAAATACCGTGTCAAAAAGAACGATTTTAACATGCTCAGCAATCCGAAACGAACAAAGGCTACCCAAACTCACGGAGTACAACGTGCGCCCCAACAATTGGTTGACCAGTAATTAGATACTCCAACTAAAATAAAGAAAAGAGGTCTGTTTAAACATCAACTGCTAATAAAGAGCGAGGAAGGAGGGTTCCCAAATTGCCTGGTCTAAAAATGGTGCTTTTTTCACAATCTGCAGATCTCGGTGGCTAGCAAGATTTTCTATCCAGATTGCGTGAATGAATGCCTGGAGGTATAGACACCTTGGAATGCTTGTAGTAAGCTAGTACCAAGTCACTTCCTCATTCATATTTATCCCTTTTTTGCAATAAGCCCTTCAAATAAATTATGGTTACACGGCAGCAAAGTATCGATGTTGAACTTTGATGTCATGTTAACGATGATGAAGAAGGTGATGATGATGATGATGATGATGATGATGATGATGATGATGATATTGATGTACCCAGGGAACTTATTCAAACGGTTTCTCAGACAAGGGGCACGTGACAGCTGCGAAAATCCACCATACTAAAACTGGTATTGACAAAACCCTACCCGAGCCAGTAGCCTTTTCTAGCCATATCTTGAACTGTCCCACAGGAGAAGGCGTAGAGCTTAAAAGGTCTTTTAGCGTGGATAGCTGAGGTGTCTATTCTACCTGATCGATCAATCACCTCCGTTGCTTTTTTTGATGTCAAACCGATAGGTGGATTTGGAAGTTACAAGTAGATTCGGTAAATTGGCTTTTCACTCATGTGGGGGTTGAATTTAATCGCGAACTCTGCAATTCAGATGATGAATTCTCTTTTCAAGGTTACTTTCAAATTCGGACCCAAATGGGTTATGTTGACTCGGAACAGGAACGAAAAATGGTGCGAAGAACAAGGACTGATGAGGTACCCGGTCATGATTCTCTAACCCCCCCTCACTAAAAAAACTCCCTGTCGAGAGTTTTTCGGTTCCATCGTGGTTTGGCGCGTATTCGTATTCAGCAGTCGGCAGAGGTACATAAAAGCAGTGGAACCGTGCAACACAAAAACAGCGGTATATTTAGACAGGTTGACATACCAGTGGAGTGATCCACCTTGTTCGGAAGTCACTAAAAGCAAAAACAACCTCATCGGATGACTTTCAGAAAAAGTATTGGCTTAAACCCAAAACAGAAACAGCCTATTGAACAGGGATTGCAGGGGGATAACCTCGGACTGAACGGTCTAAACTCACTACTCACAAAACGTTACTGAACAATACAATAAAAATTCACCAATAGTAAATTTTGCCCCTGGACTGGAAATACACCTACCGATCGGAAGAGTAGCAGCCATTGGATATTCTTATATTCTGATAGCAAAAGGGCAACCACCATCGTGTTTTCCGTCATATTGAGACTTCTTCTCGCCATGTCATATGCCTAACGAAATACAAGGATATGAGCAGAAAGAAATCAAATCCTCTGTTCACCAAAACTATACATTCGATATCCGAATCAGTGTGGGTATGAAGGGAAGAAAGTGACCAAATAGTTCACCATATTTCGCGCTTTTATTATTCCCGCCGTCGACCACAAAACTACTGAAATCGTATGCAATACACTACTCATAAGGTCGTGGAAAAATCTTCGACAGCCCAGGGCCGATTTCGAACTGCTTCGGGCTCGTTAGGTAGGCGAAGTCTCCAAGTCTCCGTCAACGCTATGTTCTACTTGAACCCAAATTGAACGAGATTAGCGGAGTACACTCGTTTGCATATTGATTTGGTTTTGACGGGGGACTCACCTGGAACCCAGCTGAATCTCTCGTTTGTGATGTTTCCAGGCATTACAAATATACATGTATCGCGATATCTCAAATATCGTAGCGACTGAAACATGAGGTTGCCTGGTGCAGCACATTCAGATGCTGGAAACATCACAAACGAGAGATTCAGATGGGTCCCAGGTGAGTCTCTCGAAAAACCAAATTAGTTTGCAAATGAGTGTACTTCGCTGATATCAAGGCTTGGTTGACACAAGACACATTTCAAGGTATTCTTCCAACATTATCTTTTCCACATGGTTTTCGTCCATAGTAAAGCTTACTTTTTTTCTACGAAGGAAATAAGGACTCTGTTTCCGAAGAGCGTTGCTTTCTGACCTCAAGGACGGGAAAAATTATCTGAGTTAGGACCCATTGTCTTGCCCATTGTGATGTGAGCAGAGTTTTGTCTTGGTGAGACCTTTGGTCAGTAGACAAAAGTTTGACAAGGCGTTGTTCAATCAGTCAACCACATCATGAGGCTGTTTAGAAACTGTAGAAAATTGTACAGATAAGAAGGAGACAACCACTCACCTCGTTTGGAGACGAAACATTTGACGACTAACTGTCATGATGGGCAAAAAGATCGATTGACAGCCAATAAATGCACCGGAATCAGCAATATTTCAGCGTTAGCAACTTGCGTGTTTAGAGGGTAAACGTACCTAAAATATATTGCCCCGTTTTTATGGATGCCAGGTACATGTTAGAAACCTGTCTATGTCACTGTGCCTGTTTAGCAATCGTTAGGTAACCGTTACACCTAACTGCTGTTTCCGCTCCAGCGCTTTAATGCTGGAAAAAGTCTCGCCAACGAGGAACACATCAGCTCTATTTCAAACAATCGATTGTAAAAGTTACGAGTTACAAAGTGAACACTAATGATCATCGACCATGCTTTTAAGAAACGTATGAAGACTTATCATATTTAGTCATGTTTCCGTGACGGGCCTGAACACCCGCCGGTCTTGGATGAATCGATTGATCCATTACTTGGCCTGATCTGGAAGTTTTTGGGCTTCCCTATAGAAATTTCGGTGAATTTTGACCAATAAGCTTTATTTTTGCTATAGCTACATTGGTCTTTCCGTGATTACGCGTTTCTTTTGAGTAGTTATCACATCATCGTACACAGGCAGTACTGATTGATAAGGCACTAACCAGCGATACTTTTAACACAACGCTGTCGACAGCCCTTTGGTATTCGACTTGTCAGTTAAACAAGAATAAAGGAAATGAACCACCTCATCTGTGGAAACTTTTAATGAGACATTCATTCATCCGAATGTCCAAAAGTACACATAAATGATGGAGGAATTATGTTCACGGAACTCTGAGACGTTCGTCATTGGTTGGGAGAGATGAAAGATCGATGAAAGCTCCCTTGAAACCAAACAGCATCATGATTGTGGATCATCTTTCGTCGTGCGGCACTCCAACACCTCGTGAAGTTTCACAATGTGATTGATATAGCAACTACCCGGTTTAACTCTTGCTTCCTGCTCACAGAATTCACTGAGGATGGGGAAATTCCTTAGAGTGACGTCACACAGGCTTCGCTGCTGTGGGCTTACGACCATTCGTGCTTGTTCTTCTATTACTGGGCATTGCTTGGCTTTGATCTGCTTGGACAAGTGATCGACTTTACGCATTTCTGTTAAAGTATGTATGTACGTAGTAAGCAAGCTAGTCGTCCCTTCTTATACAGGACAAAGATGAACGAAAATTGTGCTTCTAGAATTAATAGAAATAAAAGATTAACAACAGAAAAAACAGCAGGAAGGCTTTCAAGGCTTTGAAGCTACCACAGTCCCAAATTGATTTGCAAATGAGTGCATTTCTCGAAAACAGTGCAATTTGGGTTCAAGTAGATCAGAAGGTTGACGGTGGAAACTCGGGGACTGCACCCACCTGATGAGCCAACCCGAAAAAGGGCGAAACCGGTCGTGGGCTGTCGAAGAGTTTTCAGCAAACTTGTGAGTAGTTTCCTTTATGAAAATATACCGCGGTCCCATTCCAATCTACAACTGTCTCACAACCGGCTATGCAAGAGCTCATCTACAGTCTTGGACAGGACTAAGGCCACTAGGCAAAACTAGGCCACTAAACTACTCCGCATGATCATACCTTGGCAGGGATGGCTACGAAATTATGTTCTGTTATTTTTGGCAGAAAATGTATCCGACACTTTCCAACAATCTATGGGATTACTCAAGTTCCACCAAGAATATCGTGCCTTATGTGGGTGGGAGTGACAGACAACGTAATGGTTTTACGCTGAACAGACTATCAGTTGATTAGCTCAAAGCTGTCGGATTTGTCTCCTACTGATGCTAGATGCAGACCATAAAATACTCTTCAAAACGGGTGTTCTTGTGCATACTGTAAACAGGTTTGTTCAGATGCCATGTGACCAGAAAACTAGAGTTAAACCCGATTCACATGTAAAATATCAGTGTGGTCATCACCGGCCTAAAAAATTACAGGATCTGCCTAATATGTTGAAATATTGGTCGATCGGGTGAGTTTACTGGTTGTTGATCAGGTCGCTGTTGATCTGTTCGCCGAGCTTGGCAAGTGGCTTGCAAACGTTTCGTCACCATACGAGGAGACATCATCAGTGCGCAGTGGTGTGGAGGAAACAGGACGGTTCAACCAACCAATCAAAATCGACACAACGCAAGGCGAATCGAGGCCAGAGAGAACAAGCTACTAAAATTAGAAGCCGTTGGGGTAACCAATCAACACAAAAAGACACAGACCACAACGCAACAAAGATCACAAACGTGCCAATAGATTCACTAAATTCGTTACACCTCACGTAGCCAACCGCGTCAGAAGATAACAGATAGCCTTCCTTCCACGCAGGCAAGAAAGAAGTACCCAACCAACTGCGCACTGATGATGTCTCCTCGTATGGTGACGAAACGTTTGCAAGCCAATTGCTAAGCTC